CACCAAAAATCTAAATAGTGCCCATTAAGTAGTGTTTCTTAGCAGTCTGGCTTAGAAATACTAACATTTATGTGACCTCCTTCGCTCTTGTGTTCTGCAAAATTTGAGTAATGCAGAATAGCAGAAAGAAAGTTGTTGGTTTGATTGATTGTGAGTTTGTTGGGTTTGGAAATGTGGAACCTTGTGCTATGAATACTTCCACCACCTAAAAGGCCTTTTCCCCATTTCCAAGACCCTAGCCAGTCATTTGAACCTGTGTCTAAGACCTCCGGATTGGTTAGTGATGACACCCATTTATGTTAACTCTAACATTTAGAGGCTGCTGATGACTCGGTATTTGCACATGTTTTCCCCTTTGTTTCTTGATTGTCTGAGCTTGAATTATCGTGTCTTTTGGCCTATTTTACGCTAGGTTGTGTTCCTTTGTCATATTTCAGGTCCTAGCACATAAAGTGAAGCATAGGCGCAAGTTTCAAGTCAATCAGAGATCAATTGACGATTCGGGAGAAGAAACTCGGGCATGAAATGAAAAAGAATGGATTTCTACCTCACTTTATGGACAAAGAATCATGCAAGCTTGTCATGAAAAGAAAGAGGACGAGACTACGAGCGTCTGGGATCAAACGGCGACTGATTCGGAGTCCGGACGAGGGAGAAACGAAGCATTAAACAGAGGCTGAGCAAGCCACACGGGCATCCTGGAACTCCACACGGCCGTGTGGGTCGTGGCCGTGTGGAAATCACCGAGCCTTCACACGGGCAGCTGGGAAAGCCACACGGCCATGTGGCCTGGCCGCGTGATCGGGAATTCCTGTTTAAAACCCGATTTTCAGCAAAAGGAAAGGAGAGAACTAGGTTTTCGGTTCCCAAACACCCATGGGACGAACCCTAGAGAGAGAGAGCGACTTGGGAACATTATTGGAGCTATTTTGGAGGATTTCTTTGCCATTGGAGCTAAGGAATCAAGCTTGGAGATGGAGATTGAAGATCTAGATAAGATTTCTGCAGTCTCTCTCTTCTCTATGGAGTAACTTCCCTTCACTTAGGTTTTGAGGAACCCTAGTTCCATGAGTTAGGATCTTTCTTGTATGAAGTTTTGGATGCTATATTGTTTGATTATAATCGACTGAGGCATGATTTATTGAGTCAATTGGATCTTGATCAAATTCTCTTGATTTCTGCTTTAACCTATGATAGATAGAATCTGATTAGGTTAAGAGAGCTTCCTTGATTGATAGTAGTGAATTGGTTGTGCGAGAGTCAATCAATTCACTGCTTTGTACTGGAATTCATTCCAGTAGTGGAGATCTGTGTGAATCGCCTTAGCAGTCTATCCCGGTGAAGGCTAGCCGCCTGCCGGGTATTCTGTCTGAGAGGGCTTGGTCAGCTTAAGAGATTCCAAGCTAATTTAGGATCTTCCGCAGTTTAATCAACAGTAGATCAACCAAAGGTAATTGCAACTTGGACCTAATTGAGGAGCTAGGGGGAATCATACCTAAGTGAGTTCCCAACTTGTAATTAGTAGAGTAGTCAGTAGAGTAGTTTATAAATCAATCCTTAATCTAGTTTGCTAGATAATGAACTGAAGCTGAGTAATAGTAACTCTAGAGACCCGTGGATTCGATAAATCAATTCCTATACTGCAGTCCCTTTCATTGGTTACACTTGGCCATTGTTAGGTGTTGTGTTTTAGCGTGTCAGCTGCCGTCATGGTGAAGAGATGTTAGGAATTGAGAGAATAAGTATGCGCATTTTTTGCATCAAATTGTCCTGACCCCACTGGTCGAGAGTGAGCGATTTGTTTTCTTGTTCTTTACACTCTTTACCCCGGTGAGGACCTAGATGGCTCGATCTTGATTCTGATCTCTTGAGTTTTATGCATGAGGTGACTGTCTTGAGTAAGTGGTTGAGTCAAGTCTATGTTGGTTGATGAACAGAAGGGAGACTCCTCCTTTATTCGATTTTGCTGCACTCAAATGTCTTCTGTGGTAGTTGTCCAGGTTGCTATTAAAGTTGTGCATGTGTTGATGTTTGATAGCCAGTATGATTCACGTGTTTCTCTGCCTATATGATTTGTCCCCAATGTTGGTATGATTGAAATATGTGAGCTTACCTTGTGTCTGACTTGGTTTGCTTGGGGACAAGAAAACGGTTAAGTGTGGGGGAGTTTGATAAACCGTTAATTGCACATGTTTGTACCCCTATTCTTGAGCCGTTTGAGATGTTGATTCTCGTGTTTTAGGCCGATTTCACGCTAGGTTGTGCTTGTTTGTGATATTTCAGGTCCTAGTACGTGAATGAAGGTTTGGGAGCGAGTTCGGGGTCGATTGGACGAAGATCGGACGTGTGGCGAGTCGCTGAGGAAGCCACACGGGCACTCATAAACCCACACGACCATGTGAGGAACCAATGTGGCCGTGTGGGATTGTGCGAGCCTTCACACGGCAGACTGGAGATCCTACACGGCCGTGTGTCCCTGGCCGTGTAGGTAGCCTGAAGTCCAATTATTTGAAACGCCGCGTTTTGACTCTCACACGGGCATCTGGGTAAGCCACACGGCCGTGTGGCCTGCCCGTGTGAGTGGGGAATTCTAGTTTTAACCCAATTTCGAGCCACAAGTGAGGGAATCGACTTTTCAGAGCAAAAACAGAGTTTTAGAGAGAGAAAGGGCGAAGAACAAACCCTATGAGCTATTTGGAGTGGATTTCTCACCATTGAAGCCCAGATTGCGTCCCCAGGAGTGAAGATTGACATCCCAGAGTAGATTTTCCTCATCTTTATGAGTATGACTACTCTGATTTCTGTTTTCCTCTCTCTCTCTATGGAGTAGAACCCTTCTCTCACTTGGGTATGAAGAACCCTAGTTCCATGTGTTAGGGATTTGATTGTAATGACTTGGGATGATTATACTGTTTGGTTTTAATCGAATGACGCATGTTTCATTGAATTGATTAAAGTCTGGTCAGCTTTTCTTGATTTTTGCTACAACCTGAGATAGATAGAATCTTATTAGGTTGTTAGAGCTTCATCATTCGTTAGTAGTGGATTGGTTATACGAGAGTTAGCCAGTCTACTGCATTGTACTGGAATCCAATTCCAGTAGTGGAGTTCTGTGCTTATTGCTTCAGCTTTCTATCCCGGTGAAGACTAGTCGTCTGCCGGGTAGTTAGACTGAGAGGGCTTGGTCAGCTTAAGAGATTCCAAACTACTGTCGGATCTTCCGCAGTTTAATCAACAGTAAATCAACCCAGGGAAATTACAACTGAGACCTAACTAAGGAGCTAGGGGGACTCATTCCCGAGTGACTCTTCCTTTGCTTGAGAAAACCGAATCAATTCCTGCTTTCTTTCTACTTTCAGTTAAGACCAAATTCAATCGACTTAGTTTGCTAGATAATAGATAATCACGGAGTAGGAAGTAGATCTAGACCCCGGGTTGATATTTAGAACTTGCCACTTTACTGCATTCCCGGACTGCGATTACACTTGGTCGCAGTTTGGTGTTGTGTTTTAGCGTGTCACTTGCGATGGCATCGACGGGTGCCTGCGCCGCTCAATAGAGGAGAAAGGAGGGGGAAAGCGGCCGACAGGGAAGATAGATCTGGGGAGCGGATATGGTGACAACACCATATTTGTTGTTATTGTAACAACACTAGTCTCCAACCAATAGGAAGCTAGGATTGTGATGACTTTTTATTAGCTTAGTTGACCTTAGTGTAAAATAAAAAAAGGGTATAATTGCCATTATGAAAAATATGTTTAAATAATAATAAAAAATAAAAAATATTTTTATTTTCTATCCAAAAAATTGGTCGCCGGAATCTGGCCACCGGTCTCGGGAAACGGATCGCCGATCACCGGAATATGCTCATTGTCGCCGGAATATGCTCACCGTGGTCGAAATATGCTTACCGGCATCGGAATCTAGTCATCGGGGCCGGAATATGCCTATCGGCGCCGGAATCTGCTTACTGATGGTCATCGGAGTTTGGTCAACGGTCTACGAACACCAGATGTTATGATCTGCATTGTGAGATTTATGGTTTGGTTTCTCATATTTTTGTATGCCTTTTGTGGTTTGCTTTATCGTGTTTGTGGTTTGCATTAAGGAGTTTCTGATTTGCTTTATCGTGTTTGTGGTTTGCATTGAGAAGTTTCTGGTTTGCTTTCAAAATTTTTGTGGTTTGCATTGAGGGGTTTGTGGTTTGTTTTTAAGAGATTTGTGGTATACATAAGGAGGTTTCTGGTTTGTTTTTGTGGTTTGCTGGTTGTGGTTTACATTATGAGGTTTCTGGTGTGTTTTTGAAAATTTTGTGGTTTGCTTTGTGCGGTTTCTGGTTTGTTTTAATATATTCTTGGTTTGCATTAGGACGTTTCTGGTTTGTTTTTGTGGTTTGCTTTACGGTGTTTATGGTTTGCGTTATGAGTTTTCTGGTGTGCTTTCAAAATATTTGTGGTTTGGTTTGTGGTGTTTCTGGTTTGTTTTAGGGAATTTGTGGCATGTATTGGGAGGTTTTTGGTATGATTTTTATGGTTTGTTTTACCGTGTTTGTAGTTTGTTTTATGAAGTTTCTGGTGTGCTTTGTGGTGTTTTTGGTTTGTTTTAGGAGAGTTATGGTTTGTATAATAAGGTTTTTGGTGTGATTTAAAAATATTTATGGTTCACTTTGTGGTGTTTGTGTTTTGCTTCACGAGACTTATGTTCTACATTAGGATGCTTCACGTGACAAACAATATTGACAAATGCAATCAACAAACAAAAAGACAACGGTTAATTTACAATGCAGCAGCAAAACGTATATTAACAGATCACCAGTCACGGGAAACCATGAACTCTCACCTCATCAAACAAGAACAAAACACTAAGCAACATTATAGAACGTTAGAAAAGAAAACCTCTGCTGAAAAATGCAGCAGCTGATCATACTCATACAACTGCATCAGTTCTAGGTGCCAAGCTCGGCCTCTGGTTTCTACTGATTGGCAAATGCACATAGACCTCATGAACATCTGACTTGTACACTTCCCCTCTATCCCTATCTATCGCATAACATATGTAAATTGTATCACAAGCTCGCGTCACCAAGCTCGACGGCCGATTAGGTTTCCCCCAATTGCACTTTCATTATCTCCTCCTGCAGCTGATATATCATCCCAGCGCACCCGTACACTGGGTTACTAACTCTTAAGCTCGCCTCGTACACCATGCAATCCACAGCCTCTGCCCTTCGATCCTCTGCCACTTGCTGCAAGTGGACAATTAATTAACAGTTGATTACAAGTTTGTTTATTTATAGTAGGGCAAGGATCACTAAATTGGTTTACATTTTGGGAGGAGCATAAGGTTCGATATTGGATTTTGTATGGCTCAGTTTAAGATTGTTTCCATTAGATTGATCAATGATTTGGTATGGTAATAGGATTTGGTTGGTTTACCTGTACGAGTTTGGCGACATTGCTGGCGCCGAAAACCTTGTGGACGAATTCGAATCTTTGTGGGTTCTTCATATCACTAATTAATGATCATTGGATTTTAGGGAGGAGGGGGGATTGTGTTTGGATTTGATGTTATGGGGTTGATTTGTAGAATGTTTTCACACTCTGGTTATATATAAGATAATTAAGAGTGTGGGGATTCTAGCTAGTTAACCTTGTGGACGAATTCGACGACCGCCACCACTCACCATCCAGATCCCGACACCCTCGAAATCACCATCGTCATTAAGGCTCCCCCTCTCTAATTCAGGCTCCTCCCCCTTGTTTAAACCGTCGTCGATTCAATTTGCCCATCCGTTTCAATTTCCACCATTTGATTTGTAACATCCCGTTTCGGCTAAAATCGTATTACTGTCGCTAGAAAATTTCACGATTTAAAATCGTGCATTTTGGTAGTATTTCGACGAAAATCAGATTATCGATCGATCGGGTAAGTATACGTATTAATTATATATATATGGTGATGACTGGTGTACGTCAGGCATATACTATATGCCAGGTGATCTAGCCGTTAGATGTACTTAGATGAGCTCCGGCCGATCTCAACGGTCAATTTTTGTTTTTCATTAAATCAAACTTCGAGTTGGGATTTAGAAAATTGGTGCCTGGGGTTTATCCATTAGAGGTTAGGGTATAGTATCACACCCCAAACTCGATTTAATTCATGGTCTAGATAGAGATATCTCACTAGTAGTACCTGACGTATAGTATACGTCTGACGTACGCCAATCTGACCCATATATATATTATATAATATGTATATATATTATATAATATATATATAATTAATGCCGGCCGCATATATATATATGTAAACCCTTCCCCCGTCCCTTTTATTTCCATCATCATCTTCATTTTTCCATTTACGGACCGAGAGCAGAGGACGCTCAGGGGAAGCGAGGGGGGAAAATCTCAGGCTCGATTCTTGAGCATAAGTGATCCAAAAATCCCGTAAGTAATGCCTAATTCATCCATACATCGTGATTTATCGATTTAGAGTTTTAAAACGAGATTTTGGTTCAGGAATTTCTTGAATTCCCGATAAGCCAAATTAGGTTTTCGGAGTATCCGGAAGCCGGATTGAGCCCAAATTTCATATACGAGCTTCCTGCAGCGAGTGGAAGCAATCATGAGGCTGACGCCTCCCCGGACACCGAAGGAGGTGCAGGGGTTGACGGGAAGGTTGGCAGCGCTTGGGCGCTTCATTCCGAGGTCCTCGGATAGAGGCGCCCCTTTCTTCCGAACATTGAAGAAGGCCAGCAAATTTAAATGGACAGAGGAGTGCGATGAGGCCTTCGGGGATCTAAAAAAGTTGTTGATCGCGCCTACGGTGATGACGGCGCCCAGGCCTAAAGAGACTCTATATTTGTACATTGCGGTCTCCCGGATTGCTGTGAGTGCGGTGTTGGTGTCTAAAGATTCGTCAACGAATGAGGAGCGACCGGTGTACTATGTAAGTCGTACCATGGTGGTGCACGAAACGAGGTATGCGCCTATTGAGAAGGCGGCGTTGGCGGTGTTAATGCCGGCAAACAAACTCAGGCCCTACTTCTAGGCTCATAGCATCGTCGTGCTCACGAATTTACCTCTCCGAATGGTCTTGGGGTCCATGGATGTGTCCGGGCGCCTGGTTAAGTGGGCTGTTCAGCTGAGCGAATTCGACGTGAGCTATGCGCCCCGACCAGCCATAAAGGCTCAGGTGTTGGCTGATTTCGTGGCCGAAGGAGTAGTTGATGTGGGAAGCGGCGTGGAAGAGTGTTGGCAAGTTCAGGTGGATGGAGCCGCAAGTCGAGCTGGTGCGGGAGCGGGTATTGTGCTAATTAGCCCCTTGGGCGCCATGCATGAAGTCGCTCTGCGATTTGCAACCCTTAAGACGAATAATGCGGCGGAATATGAGGCTGTGTTAGCGGGGCTTCACATGGCAAGGGAGCTAGGCGCCCAGAAGGTTAATGTCCAAACCGACTCAGCGCTGGTGGTCAATCAGTTGAACGATGTGTATGAGGTCAAAGAGGAGGCGCTAGGTGCGTACGTTCGTGCCGTCAAAGAAAAGTGTGCGTGGTTTCGGGAGGCGACGTTCACACATATCCCAAGAGAGGAGAATGCCCATGCGGATGCCCTATCTAAGTTGGCCACGGCGCTGGATTTTGGAGAGGATAGAAAGGTGATAGTCACCAAAGAGGCCCCGCGAGAGGAAAGGGTGATGGCAACTTTCCTCGGAGAAGCATCGGATGGGTGGATGGCGCCCATCATGTTGTTACTAACGCAAGGGGTGGTCCCGGAAGACCCGAAAGAGGCTTGGCGCTTGAGAAGGAAGGCGGCGCGATGTGTCATCATGGAGGGAGTGCTATACAAGAGGTCTCACTCCGGCGCCTACCTTCGGTGCCTCACAGAAGCTGAAGGGCAAAGGGCCATCGCGGAAGTACACCAAGGAACGTGTGGAATGCACGAGGGAGCTCGGAGCCTGGAGAAGGTGTTGTTAAGGCAGGGATATTACTGGCCGACAATGAGAGCTGACTCCGGGAAGCACGTGGCCGGTTGCCATCAATGTCAAATCCATGCCAACGATATACATGTGCCAGCGGCAACCATGCAGGGAAACGTAGGCGCCTGGCCCTTCGCTCAATGGGGATGGACCTACTGGGACCCTTCCCCAAGGCGCCCGGGCAGTTCAAATATCTAATTGTGGCTATTGATTACTTTACAAAGTGGATTGAGGCGGAACCATTGGCATCCATCACAGAAGTGCAAGTGCGGAAGTTTGCAAGGAAGAACATTTTCACAAGGTTCGGGCTGCCAGAATCGATCATCACCGACCATGGCAAGCAGTTTGATTGCAAGAAGTTCATCAACTTCTGCGACGAAAATGGAGTGGTCTTGAGGTTCTCCTCCGTGGCATACCCGCAAGCAAATGGGCAGGCTGAGGCGGCTAACAAAAGCATTTTACATGGGCTGCATACCAGGCTCACCGAGGCCAAGGGGAACTGGGTGGAGGAACTTCCAAGCGTCTTGTGGGCGCATAGGACCACTTTCAAAGTTGCAACAGGAGAGACGCCTTTTGCGCTGACATATGGGAGTGAGGCGGTGTTGCCCGTGGAGGTGCGCATTCCGACCTTTCGGATGGCGCATAGGGAAGAGTCGATGGAGGCGCAGGAGCGGATCAATGAGTTGGATCTCCTGGAGGCCATGAAATCACAGGTGGCTCGATACTACAACAAGAAGATGCACCCACACAACATTGTGGCTGGGAGTTTAGTGTTGAAGCGTAACTTCCGACCAAAAGCTTCTGATGGAAAGTTGGCACCAAAGTGGAAGGGACCGTATCGTGTGCAAGAGGTAGTGGGACCGGGCACGTTTAAGCTGGAGCATTGTCAGGGAAGAAGGTAAAGATAACATGGAACGCCCAGAACTTGCGAAGGTATGGGTTGGTTGAGACCAATGAGACAGAGGAGGTTGGTAGGGTGCCAGAAGGGGCGCCCAGCATGTGGTAATTGCAAGAGAGTTTCGAGCATTGGGGTGTTATTTTTTGGTAGGAATAGGGGGAACACTCTTCAGCGCCCGGGATACTTAAAGCGCCAGGTAGTAGCGCCCCAGGCTTATTTGTTGAAATCGGAATACATATACATAGCTACTTTGTTGTTTTGCTTAAGGGTAGTATTTTAAAGCGCCCTTATGCGCCCATAACACTTATGTAAAGCGCACAGTTATAGCGCCCTGAGGTTGTTTTTTAAGAGGGAATATATATACAAAATTGCTTCGGTATATAGCCTGTTGGATCAGATCATCGTGCCTATAAATGCGCCCGATCACCAGTTAAATGCGCCCGATACATAATCTGCGCCCGATTACCAGTTAAATGCGCCCTTAAATGCGCCCGATACATACTCTGCGCTCGTTGGTCTTATGCGCCCTTAAATGCGCCCGATACATACAATGCGCCCCCATACCAGAAAACGAAGAAGCACGGCATGAAGGTTACCAAAAGCGGAAAGGACATTCGCCCCGACATAAAGAGAGTAAAATAACAGCTAAGTCACATACCCTAAAAGTTAAATACGCGCGATAAGCAAGGAAGAAACAAGTCTAGCAGTACATGCGCATAGGGGCGCCTATGCGCGCGCAACAAAACAATGAGATGCATTGAAAGTCTAACATAAAACGAAAAATTAATCTCCTTCATTCGCGCCCTCGTTGCCGCTAGACTCCGAGCTCGACCCAGAATCAGATTCATCCTCTTCATCTTGGGGAGGCGCAGGGGCAGCATCGGTAATGGGGAGCCCGCTAGCCATATAATCAATCACGAAATTGGCAATCTCCTTAACATCCCAAGTGATACTGGGATGATCCGCCTCCAACTTCCTCTTCAGAATGAGGATGCTATTCAAGGATGCCTGCACCTTGATAGCCAAGTCTGACACAGGCGCTTGGGAAGCTGGCTTCTCGCTCTTAAGCGCCTCTAATTCCTCCTGGCGCCTCTTCCCTTCTCGGATCAAATGCCTATTCTCCTCCCGCAAGGCCTTCTTCTCGTCAATGAGGAGGTCGATTTCACTCCTCTGGGCGCCGGCCTCCTTGTCAAGATCAGCATTCTCCTTCACCAGCCTGGCCACCTCTTCATGATGCGCCCTCTTGAGAGTCTCGAGTTGGGCCTCATGCTCCACCTTCAGCTTCTCCTTTTCTTCATCCACCCTTTTCTGTAGAAGGGACGCAGCCTTGGCGGCCTCAAGATTGGCGTTCTCGCATTCCTGCGCCGACTCTGTTTGGCGCCTCCGCGCCGTCTCCAGATCATCCCTCGCCACGCCGAGTGCGTTGGAGGCTTCCACATCACCCTGGCGCAGCGCCTCTTGCGCCATGGCACCATTCCTGGCCAAGTGGAGCATCTACACCAAAATAAAAATAACAAGTCTGAAATCGTGAATATGGGCGCCTACCATGGCAAGCCAAAGCAAAGCATAGCGATAAAAAGCTTGAAAACATAAGTAAGTTAACTTAGAGGGCGCTTGTAATACCTCAGCCGC